TGTTCGCATGCAGAAGTTGCTTCGACGGCGTAGCAGAAATTACACTAGCCTTGACAATAAAGAACAAAGAGGCTTACGCCGAGCCTAGACACTGGTGCAAAAGACGGCCGAGCCAGAAAACCTAAGCCAAGTCGCCACAAAATTATGTTTCGAAATGGCTGAATTGGCAAGACTGAACCGCCACCAAACATGTTCTGTTGTAGAACACAAAAGTACATCCCCTGACACGAGCGTCCAAAATATACTTACAATGGCTAGCGACGCCTCATAAAGGTCATGCAGTGACCCTCTGCTTGGCCGGTTAAGCCACACGCAGTGCCGTGCAGAGTACAGGACGACGCCCGTGAGCCAGCCGGTGCGGTGACTCCGGGCCTGCCCGTAGTGTTCCGCTGCTACCTTGGACAAGGTGAAAGCGAGCTCATCGATGCCATGATCCCCGGGACCTGTGGTGTATAACTATTGTGATTAAAAGTCTTACAGTCGCCGACCAATGTCACATAGTCAAATGAAAATGAAAGAAGCGAGATGTCTTCTTCCAAATTTTGCTGTTCTCTATTTTTGTTCCTTTTACATCTCTAGTTGTAAGATCAATGTTGACCAAGTTCTTTTTTGTTATCAACTTGTTCGCATTAAAATCTAAAATTTTTAGGGGTGTGCGAATACCGAATAGTAGCTTTCGAATCGAATACCGAATCGAATCAAGAAAAAAAACCCGAATATCGAATCGAATATCGAATAGTGATTTTATTCGTAGGAATTTTTCAAAGTGTGCTGCGAATGCGATTATTATATGTGCAGAGTATGCGCCTGGTGCAGAATATACGTCTTGTACAAAGCAAAAGCCAAAAAGTAAAAAAGTTCCGGTGAAAAAAAAAAAAAAGCAGTTGCTGTTGAACGTTGGGCACTAAAGATCCAATTTTATGGTGCAAACATAATCTATCTACCCTAAACGTCACAAAAAAAAAAAAGTTACAGCCACGCGTGCCTTTCTTTTCTCTTTAAAAACACAACCTAACACTGCAACTTTTTTTTTAAATATTTGTATATCTCAGAAAAGGGGCAGTCTGCGATAGTTGGTCTCCATTTTAAGGAAAAAAAATGTCACCTGGGATTTGATTTTACATAAATAAATTGACAGGTGTTAAATCTGAGTAAACAGCAACAAGGTAAACAAGGTGGTGTTGGGTAAACTGGCTTAAACAATATAATCTAAAGTAAGAAAAAAAAAACGTGGTTAGGTGGCTCAAGTCACCGTCCAACTGCCGCTACGCATCCATTTTTCCGTTTATCTATCCTGTTATAGAGAGCCTTGATTTAAAAGAGGGAGCAACCGAAACTGAAACCACAGAGACGGCTCCATCGCAGATTGATTGTGAATGCGCATGTGTTGTGTTGTCGCGTGGAAAGAAGGCGAACAAACAGAAGAGCGACGACGCCTGCCCGAACCTGACCGACGCTTCCGTCTTTTCGGCACCTTCTCGCGGTTCGTAATTCAAACGCGGCTATCGAGCTGTTGGAAACCCTCTCAAATCTAGGCACACTAGTTTTCCGTTCCGTTTCTTCCGCGCCAAGCCTAATTCTTTTCACGAGTAAAGCCCCTCGTTTCAAATTGAAGCGCCGATGTAAAACATACTTGCCGCACTCGCAGAAATCGGCTACTGCACCACTGCACGATCACAGAAAGAAAACCAACGTTACCACGTCGGCGAAACCAACCGAGTTGTCGTTCTGATTCGGAATCAGAATTTGCGGTTCCAAAAGAACGACAACGATAACTCAAATGGTTTCGCCGGCGTGGTAACGTTGGTTTTCTTTCTGTGATCGTGCAGTGGCGCAGTAGCCGATTTCTGCGAGTGCGGCAAGTGTGTTTTAGATCGGCGCTTCAATTTGAAACGAGGAGTTTTACTCGTGAAAAGAATTAGGCTTGGCGCGGAATTCCGGCTTCCCAACAATTCCTCTCTGGAAGCGGCGCAAGCGGGATGTTTCAGTTGTGATTCAAGGGTAGATTGTGTCATGATCGTGAGTAAATCTTCGTGCTATAAAGTTTGTGGCGTTCGCTACTTTTCTTTTTTCTAACCTGTGCGTTAGATTTTTGTGGAATGGTAGGACCAAGAGGTGTTTCTCGAATGGTCTGTCTAACATCACGGCGCTTACATCGGGAGAAAAAACTGCTTTTTTGTTTGCTCCGCGCCCACCGCACGTCTTTGGCCGAATATATCGAATATTCGAGTAACCGAATACTAGGAATTCGATTCGCGAATCGAATTATTCGGGAACTTTCTATTCGATTCGAATTCGCATATTCGAGTATTCGCACACCCCTAAAAATTTTACAACAGGGTAGAGTTGTAAAACCAAGAGGGGCTACCCAACACACGCATGCAGCCCCCCCACCCCACTTCATGGGGGTGGTCCTACAGAAGTATGTAGCTGCGCTGCAGAGAAGCATGATACACATGATCTACACGGACTTTTAGCTGCATTCTTCCATGAATCTAATGTCCGCCTGGCCGTATAACTTATAATTATCATAACTTTCACTTTTTCTTTGAAATCTGTAAATGTTAAAAAAGAAAACCTGTATAACCATAGCTAAAAAAAAATCTGACATTTGAATTGCTAAAAACAGTTTGGGGACTTCCAAGAGCGATTATTGCATAAAACAGCTTGTCAATGGTCAGAGCCTAGCAAAGCTCAACCACCACCAGCATGGCACTGCCAACAGCGCTGATGTCACTTGCATGACACATCCACATGCCGTGCCAATCATACATGGAACGCATGAAAGCATGGCGGGCAGTCCATGCAGCATTGACTGTTGGTGGCTGCGGAAGCTCGGCGCAGACACAGAAGCACCAAAGGCGGAGGATGGCACATGTTTTCTGTTGCAGCAATGTCCTTTTGCTCGGCACACCGCCAAAAAACATTTCGGATTGGCGTTCAACATTTCTAATGGTAATCGTCTTATCTGTATGTACTTGGCCGAAAGAACCGTGAGGACATTGAGAAAATCGTGTTCCGCAGTCAATTTACCTGCCCTTCGTAGTACACTATGTACTGGCGCGTGACATTGCTGTGTGTTCCTAGTATTATATTTCTTTTTTAGATGGCTGCAAAAGACGAGGACAAAGACATTACAGCAGCACTGCCAATAGTTTCTCCATGTTGAGTGCTGAATTCCTGTGAAGCAGGATACGTTTCTCAAACCTTGATGGCGCCATGGCCACAAAACGAACAAGTGATATCAATGCATGCCTTTTATATGGTCGGTGACAACTCAAGAAGGTAGGGGAAGAAAAAGGAAGGTGGGAGAGGACGAGATGGATGCAACGCCGGCGAAGGGAGAGGGTTTGACCAGCATTGTGTCCGCTTCCTCCTCTCCCACCTTCTTTCCCCTGACCCTACCTCCTTAACCTGCAACATAGTTCAAATCAAACTGCAAAATTTCTTCGAGGCTCGAAAGTGAAAGCAGCTTGTCAGGATGTATTTTGTGTGAATACCATTTAGCTGAAGCACATTGTTTTTGTGGACTCAAGGTACGTGGCTAAAAAGTCAATGCCAGTGATCTTTGTGAGAAAAAGAACACTTAAAAGATATCCTCGGCCGCAGTTGGCTCTTTAGGTCACATATTTGACGATAGGTATTGTTAACACATATTTATGTGAACACCAGGATGCTGTTTTGATGGTAACATACTAAATGGTGATAAAAACAAAAAAAACAAAGCTGGGAGTAGAAGCACATTATCTACCTTTCCCTACCAAAGAACAATGAAACGATTAGTCACCTGCTCAGGACTTTGGTCGTCTGCTTAGTTGTGGGCGACGCCTCTGCGAGCATCAACAACAGCCCTTATTTTAGCGTGCAGAGAGCCATACAGTGCTTCTGTAAAGGATGCCTTCACCATCAGACTTTTAACAGAGCGGTCACTCCTTTTTTTTTCTGCGCACCGAACGAAAGGACGGTACAGTAGCAGACGACGCCAGCGTGCACGGCTGCTGGCGTCGCTGCGTGTGCTCCAAGCTTCCGCGGGTGCTTGCGATCTTTGCTGCATGGAGCACTGGCTACGCACTCGCGTGTTCCCTTCAAGATTGGACTGCTCAGTGCACCGCTAGGAAAAGCAGTACAAAACATACCGCGACGATGCATCAGGGGCATGCACTGGTCCCCTGAAGTGTGCTTCGAACCATGTGCAGTGCAGGGTGCAGCACAGCATCCGCGTGAGTCAGCCGCGGCAGTGATTCGGGGCTCGTAGTGTTCTGCGGCTGCCTTGAAAAAGTGAGGGCCAGCTCTTCGCACCTCCTCTGAAAAACGTTTTACAACAGAGAGGTCAGTTATCTCCCTGCCTCTCATTGCCTTTCTGCTGTCCTGTCCTGTGTTCGAGAGCAATCGCTGCTATATTGTGTCTCAGCACGATCACCTTAGTCATACGAAGGAACGTGCAGATAAAGATCATTATTATTAAAGCACGTCTTACCTTCACATTCAAACTTCGGGCCTCCTGCTTTGTCCTCGCGTGTGGCGGCAAGCGTCTGTTGAGGCCACCATGCTTCGAGACGATCCTCGCGTGGTTCAAACCTGCGTTAGACTTTTTTTTTTTTTTTTTTAATTACGCCCTGGCAGCTTGTTTAAGCGCCTCTCGGCGTGTTCCCGCGCAGACAGTGACAGGCGAAGCATCAGATTCTACGCTTGCTTCGTTGGGCCTTCCTGTCTCGTTGAAAAACTGGATCGAAGTCTGTGTCGATGGCATGCAATCATTGGTATAGGGACTTATTGAGCACTTGCGGTCATACGGAAGCTTCCAAACTTGTGAGCGCGATCCTAAACCTTTGCGGAGGGCTCTGCTAGCCGTCACGTCCGCATGTTCTACCGAATGATTTCGGGCGAGCGGTTGGTAAAGGCAAAGCCGCCTGGTAAAGGTAGCTCAAGAAACAAATCGACACGTTGAGCGGGACCGAAGCGCTCAAGTTTCGCCACCGACTACAGCGCCATTCCAGCCCCTGGCGGGACGCCCGAACCCGAGTGGCTCGTTGTTTTTCGCCTCGCTTCTCCGTCGTAGGCGGTCGGATATGACATTCATTGCGATAGAGACGATATAAAAGCCCGGCTAAGCACAAATGTTTCGTTGTTGATCGCAGCAACAACCTCCGATATTGTTGTAGTCAATCCTTAAAATTCTACCGCTCCCCTGAAAAGCCGTGCGAGACTCGAACGGCGCCAAGCCTGGACCACGTCGGTGCTCCGACAAAAGTAAGTCTCTCGTTCGTTGGAAGATCAGTTTTGCTAAATACACGAGAAAACCTAAATGGAATTGGTGTCCGAATAGAAACAGAATGACTACCGAACGCGGGAAAGTCAGTTGACTGGAAATGCATGACGGAATATTTGTTTTTTAGTGCGCGTCTGTCGCTTCCCTCGAGGTGTTTGACGAGGCTTCGGTCGCTATGTTGGATCCCTTTGGCACGGATATTTCAACTATAATCACTGGCAGGGTGAGAACGGCAGGGAGAAGCTTTAGTTCCTCCAGCACTAGCTTCCAACCTTCGACAGGGTTTCTATCTTGCGACCGTCGAGCGTTCACGTGCAGCCACATCGCAGCGAAGAGCAACGAAGACGTGCTAGAGCTCGGCCGTTCACAAGAGACGCCCTGCATGCCTTTTTGACTTTGTCAGCATATGTCTAGCTAGGGGAGGGGCTTTTGGGGGTTGCGAGTGCAGCTTTCTTCTGCCGTGTGTGTTTCTTAATCGCTGTTCCCGTTTTTTTAGCTGTTTATAGCCATAATATACGACGCTATAATACACGCATGCATCCCCCCCCCCCCTCCTTTCCCACACAACACACACAAGGAATGCACCTCCAAACCGCCTCAACCAGCCAGCCACCCGCCCCCCCCCCCCCCCCCTTTTTTTTTTTTAAATAAAAAGAAACCCTGATTATGTTTTTACTTGCCAGAGACAATAATCGTTTCTATTATTTCGTGTCGATTTCCTACTCATCACACCAGAGATCTTATATTATTGATTTATTTTTCAGTGGGGGTGGTTCAGTTTTGATTCCGCCAACGTCAGCGGGGATGTGCAGCGTGCACTTCATGAACACCTGCAAGGACAACGCTCAGGCTCATCCTGCAACAAGTTACTAGACGAGATGCCAGCTGAGATAAAGACTAATTGCAGGGAACCTACCAACCCTGTAATTGCTCGTGAATGATTCTTAGTTAATTTAAATTAATTTTCACCCCCTCGCTCGAAGATACAGGTGACCTTTCCTCATCTATTTTGCATTCTCTATATGTGCCCGGTTCTTAGCCTGTTAAAAGTATCGTTAGTTGATTGGCAACTTCTGTCTTTGAGTTACATGTTTTGGTTTAGTCTGTACCCCAAGATTCAGTATAGCTTGGCTAAAGATGGATAAGCTAAGGTGACGACTGCTTTCTCACGAACTGGGAGACATCTTTCGTGAGATCTGGAATATGAACAGCTGATCTGCCGTGCAAGATCCCTGAAGTAGTCGGGGTTCTCGGCCCTACAATTTCTTGGACAGTCCTTGCTTCTCGAGATGTGTACATCATCTACAAGTATCCTGCCGGCCATACTTCGAGTCTGCTCCAATGTCACCGTGTTAAGAGTATGAGAAGAATTTTTATATTGTCACAAGGTTGTGTGTTTACCTACTCGTGGTTGTGATAAAACTCAATAAACATCTTTTTCACTGTCAACAAAACATTTCTGAAAGCGTTGCATTATGTTGCTGTACCATATTTTCCAGACTATAGTCTGCAGGGGCAAATTTGGGGTAAAAAGAGTTTGCTTAGATTGTGCACATACGGTGCATCGTCCGCACGTGGTGCTTAGTCGTCACGAATATCCTCTCATAGACACAAAGAAGCTGGTATTATACGTAAATTATCATTTACGTACTCTTTCATTCACCAAATCGGTCGTCTCGTCATAATCAACGATATTGAAAAACAAAAATTTTGCATAGTCCGCACAGCCTAAGATTCCAACTTTTAAAAGTATAGCCCGGAAATTACGGTACATTCCTGGAAACGCTCGAAAACATGCCACGAAAAACTTTATTCAGTGAAGCAGCAATTAAACACTGGCATGCATGGATTATGTTTCTAGAAAATAAAAGTTGTTCTACTGATGACAACCTATCATGTGTCACTGGTGTTTCCTTTGCTCCACAACATTTTCCTCCTAAAATGTCCCACACAGTAAAGTATGAATCAAGCCCCCAGCCAATATCTGGAAATCTTGCATGTGGACTGGACAACTTGAACCTGAAAGAGAAATGAAGTTTTTTATGAATCCATCCAACTGAACATTGTCATGAAAATTCGACTAAAATTATGTGCAGTCATATGCATAGCAGACATTTATGCTGGAGATTTAGTCTAGGCTAGCCTCTTTTCGTTTTCAACTGTTTTGCCCCTCTTTCTGACAGAATCTCGCGGCACATTATTGCTCATACTCGCAGAAAAAGAACCATTAATCAGCAGGAGCAGGTCCCAGTAACTGCAACCTACTGCCTCAGTGAAGTGGGACAAAAAAACCTGATAATAAATCTACGAAGCCTTTGTTCAGGTCGTGCCCTGGCGTTTTAGTTCCCTACTGCTGAGGCAGGCTGATGCAGGAAGAGTGTTCAACAATGCTAATAAAATTACGAGCGTCGGCACAATACTCGCACCGGTCCGCGACTCCAGCCCAGCGAGGACGTGCAGTCTCAACTGTACGCGGGGGCTTATCTCTTCCCGGAATTATCACCCTATGCCCGCATGATCCCCGACACGTAAATATTTCTTCGACGTGGGCGAGCCCGAAAAGCTATCCTACTCGTAGCCTCTAGTGCGAGAACGTAGTCTGCCGGTGGTTCAGCGACCGAAAAATAGTATCCCGACGTCGTCTAACAGGACTCACGAGAACAGTGGTTTATTGTGATCAGTAATCTTAAAGGCACAATGTTATTACAGCGCAAAATTTAAACAAGGGACGCTCACCTGTAAAGTTATCTCGTAGACGCCGCACGGGCGACACGACCGTACTTGCGAGGCGGACCCGACTCGTTGGCGGGGAAATCAACCGCTTTCTCGGTGGAAGATGCGTGTTATTGAAGCTTCTCTATCGTATCTTGACTCACCATGAGAAATAACTCTCGCACGCTTTCTATCTTTCTCTAAATCTTCACTGTACGCTCGAAACACCTGCGACGCCAATGCAACGCTACGAACACGACCGACGCGACACGACCATGTGTTGTACTGCGGTGGCGCTACCATCGCAATTTCGAAGCGCCCCCTGGTTGGGCGAATCGATTCTGATGGCATCAGCATTCAGCACCGACCGACCATTCCCGCCATTTCTGGTAGCGCCTTTGTTCCCGGACGCACCGGACTAAATTATGTCAAACGACTCCAAACGGAACTGAAGCACTAAAGTGCGGTGAACACTCACCTTTATGAATACCTCCTGTTCTTGGTGTTCTTGGAGATGCACGAGAGGTATTTGGCGGCTCTGGCGGTTCGCGATCGACGCCGGCACTCATCCGGCGAAGCTGAGTGCATACATTGGAGAGTTTTAGTAGATCGTTCCCATGACTCCGATAACGATATCCCGATACTCCGCCACCGCCTCCCTTGCGCATGCATAGTATCGTTATCGGGGCTATCGGAGGTATCGGAACGATCTACGTTGTCAACGGCTGCCACTGAGCACGGTCAACCTCGTTCCACTCGAGAACTTGAGCTGCTTGAGCTGGTTATCGACGGTTAATAGTACGTCGCCACTCAAAAGCGAGAAAAAAAAAAAAGCGCGGGAACACGATACCAACGATACCCCCAAGCTGCGTGATTGGTTAGCTGGTGCATAGAGTTATTATAATGTACGCTAGAGGTTCAAGTGGCGCTTGTGTGCTGACTCAAATTGAAGCAGACAGCAACCAGTCGAAAATTGACTTCCGGTAATGCATTTCTATGGGAAAAAGTGAGTGCATTTTCTCTCTGCGCTCGATCATAAGAGCAAATATCCCGAATAATCCATACGTACTAGGTAGCTTGGAACATTTCTCAGTCAGGCCGACGAAATAATTGGTCAGTTACGGTGTTTTTCTTTCAAATTCATCGCATTAAAAACGGTGCTAAAACAGCTTCGTACGTGTATTTATGTGCATTGTCGGACACTGTTAGCGCGAACACGACGTCTGCGCTTTTCAGCGTGGGGGATATACGTGCCAAACGAAAGAACAAGATCTGGAAACTAAGAAAGACGGCAAAAACTACGCAGTAACACCGGATCAGTAACTACACGTGCATATACGATCAAAATTAATTGAAGGCCACGTAATCTATTCCTACTTTAAATAAGTAAGTACCATTTTATTCTTTCTGCTCTGAGCGAAGCTGCTTGTTCTACGTTCAAAATATCACTCGCACGCTCGAAATCTTTGAGAACAAGCGCCCGATAAAAGCTGCCCGGCAGAGAAAACAATACGAAGAGACAACTTTTATAGCCCACGGACTTTATTCTCTACATTTTGAATGTTTTTATCCGCTCATGCACGACGGGGTCATTTTTTATATAGTGACAGGACTGGCATATTATCAATATACAAGCGTCACCGGATTGCTGGCGAGCCTTGAACACACTCTACATTCCTTTCGATTGTAATATTGCTTCGAATCGTCGCTTGTTGCTACACACCTGCTGCGGAAAACACGTTTGGGACTGAAATGTAGCGAAGTTAAACATCGGTCACTGATGAAGAAAAATGCGATAACTAAAGCAATTACACTTTTACAGTGTTAATCAAGGTACATACTATTCGGTACGACCCAAATAGCCAAAGTGTTCCGTGTTATTTTCCGGCGAAGAGACAAAATGCACGCGCGCTTTCCCAAAGGAATACACAGGAAGACTGGAAAAGTAGACTGGTTGCTGTCTGCTTCAATTTGCGTCACGGAAGTCGCATAGACACTAGCGCCAGTTGAACCTCTAGCGTACATTATAATAACTCTATGAGCTGGTGATGGCAAGCGTACAAAAACGACAAGTACCGGTGACGATACACTTTTGGTGTTGTTAGATCGGCTGCTTTGAATCGTAGCGTCGGCTGCGCTAGGACTTGGTGTAAAACGGAGTGTAGAAAACGTAGAACGAAAACAAAAACATTGCCCCCGCGGCCAAGGGCGCCAAGGGCGCCAAGGCGGAACTAGAGCACTATATAGCTCCTACGGAGCAGAGTAGCGCAATCCTTTGAACCTCGTGTTTTGCCGACAAGATGGCCGACAGAGCGGCTCGGCGCGAGTCACGTGGTACTCAGGGTTCCAAGAGGCGGCCCGCCCTATGGGAGAATACATGGAGATCGATACAACACGGCTGATTAAAAAATGAACAGAGAGTTCACAATTTTCAAAACTAGTCTGTCGTGAAGTTAGTAAAGCACTAAACACTTTGTCAAAGTTTTAATAATACGGCGGATGCGTGTGCAAATTTTGAGAAGGCAATTTCTGAGGCAATGGCGTTTGAAGCAGACGATTTTTGCTCGCAGCGGAGATGGGCTTTTCGGGTTGGCCGGAGCGGGTCACGTGAATGGTGTGACGTCGCCGTGTCGTCTGCTGCATGATGCCGCTCAAGCAATTTTTTAAAAAAAGTCAGGTTCTTGCGGGTCACAAAACTTAGCGCAAATTATTCTAAAATGTTCCATTATTATGTCACAAACGATTGACATTCCGTATATTCCCACAATACTGAAGAAACAACGATTTTCTCACGTTCTCCATGCATTTCTGACCGCAGTTGGAACCTCCGGGCGTTCGCCGCTAGTCGCCGAGAGGCGGCGTTCTAGATTGCGCTACTCTGCTCCGAAGGAGCTATATAGTGCTCTAGGCGGAACAGAACAGAACCGTACCAGCCAAAATTAAAAAAATCAAACAAGAAAAAAAAAAGAAGAAAAAGTAAAAACAAGAAAAGGAAGGCGGCCTAGTTAAAGTTACACGTAATTAAAACCTCAGAAGACGAGAGAAAAAAATACAAGACACAAAATGTTTAAATTTTTAAAACGTTTCTGAATTGCACTCATTTTTTTTTTTCATACTAGCAGCACTAGCAGTTGGCAACCTCAGAGAGGATCGCACAAAAGAACGGAGACGCCTAACCCTAACTAAGCAACATGTCTCGGGACTTCATGTCTGCGCAAATGAAAGAATTTGAGGAAATGCTCAAAAACGCAGACATAAAACCTCCTTTCATTGGGGTATATAGGGGCGAGGGGAGCTGGGAGTGGAGTGATGGAGCGGTAGGTGAGAAATTCAAAACTCCCTGGGTAACCTATCTCCCTCCCTCCGAAGCAGTGTCAAAAGCAGTCTACTCGAAGTTTCTTTGTTGCATCCTGGGAGACTTCTCCAACGTCACTGATGTAATAGATCTCATGACCAAAGTGATTCTGTTGACACCTGACCCAGAAGACAACTCCAACTTCCTATTCACCACCATTTTCAGTCCAACGGCCACAGAGGAGATCTACAAGGTGGAACTTGTCTCAGCGAAAGGTGCCTCTTCCTCCAAGTGCTCCCGACATGTCACTGAGAAGTTTGACAAGGCCCTGGCCTACGAAAAAGCTGCCCCTCTGGAGATGGCCCGATTCAAGCGCGGAGGGGAAAAAGTTGACCCCGAAACAAGAGTGGAGCAGGACCTTCGAGATGCCTCCTCTGCGGCCACCACAAAAGACATTGCACAGTTTGACATTGAGACAATCTGGAATGCTCTCCAAGAAAACCCTCCGACTGAGAGGACCCTTGTGGCCAAGCAGATGCTGAGCTTTATAGCTCTAGTCTGCACCCGTCTTTGTGTTGATGGGGTTTCTCAGGTGAGAAAGTATTTCCAGACAAGAGCATCTAAAGCTTTTGTGGGAACATGCAACCCAGTGGGACTGCCCATCTCTCTCCCTGTTCCTGCCACAGACCTCTTGATACATATCTCGAACTTCTTTCCCAAAGGGTGCTCGAGACATCAGGAGTTGTTCTACTACCTGGTAGGGGCCAGGTATGCATTCGATAACAAAAGTGCTGATAAAGAATATGCAGCGAACTCTCGCCTCCGATGTAGGTACATGGATGAAGGGTGTCTTCTTCACCTCAAATTGAATGGTCTCGGGCT